CTGCTGGATCATTTTTAAAAATCTTGATGTTGATATTGGTTGTTGCTTTTTGAGTAGGTGTTTATTAATTATCATGAATTGCTTTCACGGGATTGAAAATTTCGCAGTTTGGATCTTTTTATATATCTATCTTAAAATTCAAAAAGAAAAAGAAACTTCCATAGTGAACTAAATTCTATAGTTTCAAATAAATAACTCAATGCTCTATAAACTTCAAATGGATCATCAAATGTTCTTCGCTCAAATCTCTGACTTAAGACAATTTGTGGATGACTGGTATAATATACAGTGAACACATGTACCTTGTTATCAACCTCAATCCAGTTACAACTTGGACTCTTTCGAATTTTATATTCTTTCAAATATAAAATTTGTAAATTATACAGGGATGAGTTGCCCGTGCCACTATCACAACATATCCTGAAAATTATACTTTTACACCCCCAACTTGTTTTATTGACACTCTGTTATTTTGTTTGTTCAGGTGAATATCGTAATCTTCAAAATAGTCACTTATTTAATAGGACTAGTTCATATGTCCATTGATTCTATGTAAGCAGATACAAAAGATTAGATATGCAATAACAAATGGCATATGGGATTGATGTCAGATAAATTTATTCAATGGTAGGACGATTACATTATCTTGTTGAGACTATTGCATTTCAAGCAGTATGGATATTTCATTTAGATGAGAGATCTTCAGTAGGAATTCTACTGATTGGTTTATCTTAAAGGTGATGCTGGTGTGGTTCACGAAATTGTAATTCCTTGGCAATGTTTTTTATGCTTAATTCCTTGAATCTATGGAACTACAGTGTTACCTTAGATCTTTCTTAGACATTTATCTCCTCGAAGGTACTCACCAACTCAAGATGCAAGAGGCCGCCAAAGAATGTGTGGTCAGACACAACTTTATAGTTCTTCTTGCTCCTTAATTTTAGTGTCATTTATTAATTGGTTGTACCTTAGAGGTTCATCTTTTTTGTCAACTACATATTTATTTTTATTTCTTCACTGGCAATTTTATGCTTTATGTTCTTAGGTTGGTGTCTTCATTGTTCAAACCTTGAATGGTAGGTAAAATTTGAAGAAACTAAGAATTAAAGACTAAAGAGTTTTCCTGTTATTGATTTTATGAATCTCTCAATAGAGTTCGGGTATTTATAGTATAGAGATTACAAGCATTTAGGGTAACAACAAGTAACAGAATTGACAGTTATGATAACAATACAAGCATTTAGGGTAACAACAAATAATAGAATTGACAGTTATGATAACAACAAGGTCTTTGGAGAACAAAAGGTAAATCAAACATGAATCATTATGGATACTTTCGTATACATCTTTTATTTTTTTGTGGGAACTAATGCTCTATTATTGTTCTTCTTCCATGTATATATGTTAAAATTAAAATGTCTTTCTTTTGACTGTGGAATATGCCTTTCTTGGAGCATATGTTATTTCACTTTTTTCTTGGAGCATATGCCTTTATTCATGTTTTTAGTCTAAAATAAATATCATTAATTGTTGTTGCAGGGACAGAAGACATAGGAGAAAATAGGGTATTACTGGTCAAAGTGATACTTGAGGAACAAGTTTGGAAACTCTCTTTAATCTTTCTATAGCAAAAAATATGTGGAAGATTCCCTAGTTTGTTATCGAAAATTGCATGTGTTTTTATAGTTTTGTAACTTTTGCAGCTGAAGAAAGTAGATTTAGGTATCAGTGCTCTACAGAACCGAAAATTCCAGCTAGAGGTTAGTTTTATCTCTTATAGTTGCATATGATGTCTTGATATTGAAATGTTGTTTCATATGATGTCATGGGGATACTGATGAAGTCAACCTTCCAGTTAGATTCCCTAAATTTAATTTGAAAAAAATGTATAAATTCTTATTTTTGAAGGTCTACCTTGATGAGAGTATTCAAGAACTGGATAGCCTTAATTCTATAATTCAGGAGCTTGAAGCTCAATTATACGAAGAGGATGAGGAGTGCAAAAGGTACTGGAATGTTTCAAGATCCATATGTTGATAGTTTTTGTTAACTGTCACACCTCTCCGTTAATTTGGCATTTATTGATAACATGATGTTGCCTTTCCTGACATTTCTCTATTCTCTCTGAAACCTTAGAATTACTTCAATAATAAGGAAATTTGTTAGAGTTCACAATATGTCAGAGTTACAAGATGAGCTAAAGAGGCAAGTTTCTTTTTTACAATTTACTTTGCTTTGTAGACTTCTAGTACACATCAATGTCTTTTAATGTTTCATTTTCTTTGTGTCTTTCTCTAGCAGCATACAATTTTATTCATGTTTGTTTCACCATTTTATTCATAGATCTCAAGTCCAAAAGTACCTCTTATAAGCTTTTGAAAAGGGAAAAAAGCAAGCGTACTCAACACCTTATTTACAATAATAAGTATGTAATTTTTATTAATAAAATTCTATTTATATAAATGTTATTTAACACTATTATTATAACTTGACTCAAACTATTCATTGTGTAGATATTTGATGACACGTCTCTAATGGAATAACATGTTATAAAGGATGTTCGGGAGGAGTGGGCTGCATTTCTTTTAACCGTTTGTAAATTATTAGATGTTTCAATATTACATTTTGAGTTGAGGAACTATTTTATGTGTAATTATGTTAAGTAACTATGTTAGGTAAATATATTTATGAACTTTGTTGAGTAAATATTACATTTTGATGTGTTAATAGAAACAATATTTATTATTTTGCTTATTATTGATTATTTAGACTTTATTATGTATGGGATTGAATTTTATGCAAGTTTGGATATAGATAGTAGCACATACAAATCCAATACTCTAAAACAAACATCACTTTGTACACCGTTTATAAGATGACTAGGTATAAAAGTGAGACTCTTTTATACCTGTTCTAGCACTAGCAAGTATAAAACTGATATTTTTGCCAATGACGGGGAATATTATACCTGCTTTCGGAATATCAGGTATAAAAACAAACTTTTATACCTGGTGTAGATAGAACCAGTGTAAAAGTTAAACTTTTTAATAACAGTTCTAAGTCCGGTATAAAAATTTGAAAACTTTCTATACTCCCTACTTTTATACTGCAAAAAAATCGATATAAAAAATCTTTTTTAACAGGTATAAAAAACCTTTCTTGCACTAATGTGAATTCCAATACAAAACTTTTATTCAAAAGTCTATGTCAGAATTAGATAAACGTTAAGAGATAATATACTCTAGGAATATTTCTTTCATACCTTTTGTTTGTCTCTTCTGTACATGCAACACTGACCTCTAACTAAAAGGCTAGATTCCTCCAAGAAAGTGAAAGCTCTTTCGAAGAAGTTTATATAAATTATATTGCATGGAGAGAAGACAATAACAAGAATTATATTGCTTACACTCACGATGTTGTTTTCTCTTTAAAGCTCACGTCGTTTAAGACTCTTTGAAAAATAAAAGTTTTCTTTACAAGTTTTTAGAACTTTATTGTATTGATTTCATATCCTCTTTGAGAATAATCTTCTATAAATGTATTTCGAAAAGCAACTTGTTGTTTTTTAGATTAAGAAGTGAATTCAGACATTTGTAAGTTTAACTCAGTGGAGTTAAAAGCAGTAATCAATTAGACTAACTTTATACCAGAAGTGGTGAAATTCGTTCTAACCATTTGGCTTAGTTGTAAAATCAAGGGTAGTTAAAATCGTGTTTTAATCTTTGAAGATTACTGTAACCCTTTAAGAGTGCTTAAGGAAAAACTGGATGTAGCTCAATTTGGAATGAACCAGTATGAAAATAAACTTTCCTTTTTGCTTTCGTTTTAAAAGTTTTCATAAATGCTCTTAGTAATACTTAAGTGTTTAATGCTTATTACAGGTCTTTTAACTCTTTCAGAAATACTTAATCACTTATTTATGAAAAGTTTTAAAAACCCTAGTTAAACCCTTCCCTTTCTAGAGTTTTTATTGTGTTTCAACATTGATGGTTAAGTGACGAGTGCTGATGGAGGTGGTCGCCTAGGACGGCCTGAGGGTGTTGACGGAGGTCTGGAAGAGCGTTTTGGCCGAGAAGAGTCGGTTCTTCGTGGAGAAGTTTCATTGCGACAGTCGGTGGAGATTAATGACTACAACGATGTGGAAGTGTACCTGGAAGCTATGGTTTTGATGTACTACGAGGATCTCAAGGCTAAGTTGTGTTCCATGGGCGATGGAGTTCCTAAAGTTTTGAACTTGCTTAAGTTTCCTAAAGTTTTGAGCTTGCTTTGATGTTTGTTGTTTTGTATATTCTTTTTGTTCTTGTTTCATGACTGCAATTGGTTTGTTATGTTCTTACTTTTACTTGCATTATTTTATAGGTATTAGCAACAATCATGTTTGATATAGGATTGTGTCATGCCTAGAATATACGAAATTTATTCCATGGAGTGAGGATGAACAGGAGGAAGTGTATCTCAGCTAAAACATCTGCAGATTTATGACTCTACAGCTGAAGTTCTTCAAAGAGTATCATCGGATCCATCTATTGCTGATAGGTCTGAGGACATCTTCTTGAACCTAAATAAAAAATAAAAAAATCTGATGAAAAACACAAAAAAATTAAAAAAAAAGTTATATTAAATACCCTTCATTGCCTCGGTTGCATTTGAACCGAAGCAAAAGCCTACCCCGTTTTACCTCGGTTCATAACTAAGGCAAAAAGTCTACCCCTTTTTGTCTCGTCTATATATACCTTGGTTCGTCAACCGCTGTGTATAAGTGAAAATAATCATTGTCGTTTTCCTTTATTAACACTAGTGCATCTTACATAAAACGAGTTTGACATAAACAACGTTGTTTTAATAAGAAAGATAGTCATCACACAATTTTTACATAAAATTTTAGACAGCTAGACATTAAATATGTGACGTTTTTTTGTCCTTTTTTTTTCCTCACTATTGTCATTTAATGTTGTATGAGTTTGAAGGATTACAAAGTTATTTGTCCAAGATGTAGGTGATACAAGCCAAATACAAAACACACTTAAAAATCATATAGATTATCATATGTTACACACCACACATGTCTATCTAATTATAGTTAATTCATTACAATTAAAATTTGTGGAAAAAGTAATAACGTTTATAACTAAGTATTTTGTGAATGCGAAGGAGTGGCGTTGGGGTTTTCCATAATTTGTGTTGATCTCTTGGAAGACAGCGGGACAACAACGGTCTTCAACTTCTCTTCAATCTTGATAATAACCAAAAATAATACTCGATACAGAACAATCATCCCCAGCAAGATTGCAAGATTGACCCACTTTGAGTAACTCATGTCAACTTGCCACACATTTCTCAAAACCTCTTCACCAGTGATGTAACTGTGTGAGCTTCCTCCATCATTTTCTGCTTCAAATCTTAGTCCTTCATACTCGTTCTTGAACATTCCTTGGTTGGCAAAGGTATGAAAAGCAACGTAGTGTAAAGGGTATTTCCAAACTGGCTTGGGAATATCGTTTGGCAACTTAAAGAAGCCACTCAGTAAAAGCATTACTCCTTGAATTCCAGCACCAGTTATGATGCCCATTAGATAGTTGGGAACAATGCTCGCAACTATCATCATAAGACTCTCCACTAACATCAGACTAGAAAATAAAACACAAATGAAATACACGAAATGTTCGAATCCATTCTGAAGACCAGGAAGGTAGTAAGCTATAACCCCAGGAATTACTGCAACCAATACCAAGAATGGTATAGATGATAAGGTGTTTGCAATCACAAATGCAGTGACACCATAATGCCCGTTTTCTCTTTCTCGTTGAAATACCTAGAAATTCAAAATTCAAAGTGAATTCAAAGTTCCACATTGATTAAAATGCTATTTTCTCACTTCTGTCAATGACATTTTAGAATGTGAATAGCTTATAATTTGTTACGGAAAAGAAAAATCTAAGACGATGAAGAATTTGTGAATTACCTTCATGACTTCCACAAAGGAAGGGAATCCACCAATGGTCATGAAAGTGAGGAATCCAACTATGAAAGCAACAAGAGAACCTCGATCCTTAATGGAGTCATAACTTGTGCCCAAATTATGGAAAACAGTGGCTAAACTTATACCCAATGCAATATATATGACAAGGCGCAACCAATAATAGCCCAGATCACGAAACATGTTGACGAATGATCTTTTGGTAAGAGCAAAGCACTGGTTAAGGAAGCCAGCATGTACTCTCTTCACATCCAATGAACTTTTCTTCTGAAACCAGTTGAAGTTAATGTTAAGTATTTGCAATGTGAGCATTTATGAATGTTAGAGAAGCATTGAGGGTTACCTTCTCAGATAGTAAAGCTACTTCACTTTGAACTTCTTGATTCCTCTCAGAGCATTTGTATGAGTTTACAAGGATGTGAATTACTTCTTCTGTAGGCAAGTTTGTAGTTACTGCTAAACCCACCTCAATGTCCTATATAAGATCAATCATAACACGTTTTAATTGGATTTTGTCGATTACAGTTGTGTTTATCTTGTATTATAAAGAAGAATAGAATATGGAAACTTGGTCATTTTATTTACCTGATCGAAATCCTTGTTTATAGTTTTCAGTAAATGATCAGACGGATTCATGAGAGTGGGACAAGGATAGCCATATGAAGCGAAAAACTACATAAGCATAATAAGAAAGGGGAGGCTTATGATTAGAAAAAAAGAAATTGGTAAAACACACTAACAATGGAATAGAATACATAAAATCTGGTATTTATTTTTATGCTTAATTGAANTATATATATATATAATATTTTGAAATAAACTTTTTGAAACAAATAACTCCTAAATATATTAAATGCATATTAAATAAAATTTTTAAAACAATTTCTTTCTCTTCTTCTTCGGGAGATGTTTTTAGGTATTAATATTACAAAATATACTTTTTTGTTAAGATAAGATTGTTTAAACTATAGTTTTGAAGTTTAACAACGAACTAACGTTTAATAAACAAACTGTCTAGGATAAAAAAGCTAAATGCTATATATCTTAAATATTGTAAGTTATTCAAAGAGATTGTGTGTAAACGCTTACTCATGTGCAAATGTCTAAACGATTAAGATCGTTTAACACTTTAATGCATGTAGATATTATTAATTACTCTTTTATTTGTTGTGTTGTGTTCTTTTTTTATGACACTCATGCAAAATATATTTTTTATATCGATTTTTTATACGGGTTAAAATTCATCAGGGTATAAAAAGTGTTACGGTGGCAGTTTTGTAAATATGAAAAACTTTTTTACACCTATTATAATAAAAACAAGTATAAAAGTGGTACGATGACATTATTGTAATAAAATTATTGATCTATACCGTTAAATATTATAACTGGTATGAATTATTTTACATTTCTCGCCGTACTTTCTCTTCTATGAAAAAATTCGCCATTGTTCTCCGTTGAGGTTGGGTGAAGTTGCATTTAAAGTTGTTCCTCACATCTTTTATCTCATTCACTCACTCAGGAAGGAGCATTCACATCTTCTTTGCCTTATTTTCTCTCTCGCAAGCATTTCTCATTGTGCGCGTTGTCTTCCTCGAGATTTAAGTGGCTCGAGAGGTCATCCTTCACCATCACAGAGCATCTTCCTGACCTTCAGGTTAGGATTTCTCCCGCATTTCCTCAATTTCTCATGTATGACCGATTGAAACTTCATTTAAACACTATTTCACCTTCAATCTACATCTTCCATCGATTATAATCACATTCTACCGGTTTCTTTCTGTGGATGGTTTCTTTTTTAGATATTCGACTTGGAACTAACTCCGATTTGTATGCTTTTGGTAGATTTATAGGACGATTGGCGAAAAGTATGGTGTGGAATACTCGGAGGATGAAATACTGTTTAGATACAGAAGAGCATATGAGCAGCCTTGGGTAAAATCTCGTCTCAAGTTAACTTCTTACTTCTACTTTTATTTTTACTTTTTATCGTTCATTTGAAAATAGTTAGATTTTATTACTTGGATATGACTTTGGATGAAATAGAGTTTTGGGTTTTAAGTTTTAAAAGTTTCGCATTAATTGATTTTGGGAGAAATTGTAGAGTAATCTGACCGCAACTTGTGATGTGATTGCGGGACAAACAAATTTTGATATTGTGATCGAAATGGTACTGCTGGATCATTTTTAAAAATCTTGATGTTGATATTGGTTGTTGCTTTTTGAGTAGGTGTTTATTAATTATCATGAATTGCTTTCACGGGATTGAAAATTTCACAGTTTGGATCTTTTTATATATCTATCTTAAAATTCAAAAAGAAAAAGAAACTTCCATAGTGAACTAAATTCTATAGTTTCAAATAAATAACTCAATGCTCTATAAACTTCAAATGGATCATCAAATGTTCTTCACTCAAATCTCTAACTTAAGACAATTTGTGGATGACTGGTATAATATACAGTGAACACATGTACCTTGTTATCAACCTCAATCCAGTTACAACTTGGACTCTTTCGAATTTTATATTCTTTCAAATATAAAATTTGTAAATTATACAGGGATGAGTTGCCCGTGCCACTATCACAACATATCCTGAAAATTATACTTTTACACCCCCAACTTGTTTTATTGACACTCTGTTATTTTGTTTGTTCAGGTGAATATCGTAATCTTCAAAATAGTCACTTATTTAATAGGACTAGTTCATATGTCCATTGATTCTATGTAAGCAGATACAAAAGATTAGATATGCAATAACAAATGGCATATGGGATTGATGTCAGATAAATTTATTCAATGGTAGGACGATTACATTATCTTGTTGAGACTATTGCATTTCAAGCAGTATGGATATTTCATTTAGATGAGAGATCTTCAGTAGGAATTCTACTGATTGGTTTATCTTAAAGGTGATGCTGGTGTGGTTCACGAAATTGTAATTCCTTGGCAATGTTTTTTATGCTTAATTCCTTGAATCTATGGAACTACAGTGTTACCTTAGATCTTTCTTAGACATTTATCTCCTCGAAGGTACTCACCAACTCAAGATGCAAGAGGCCGCCAAAGAATGTGTGGTCAGACACAACTTTATAGTTCTTCTTGCTCCTTAATTTTAGTGTCATTTATTAATTGGTTGTACCTTAGAGGTTCATCTTTTTTGTCAACTACATATTTATTTTTATTTCTTCACTGGCAATTTTATGCTTTATGTTCTTAGGTTGGTGTCTTCATTGTTCAAACCTTGAATGGTAGGTAAAATTTGAAGAAACTAAGAATTAAAGACTAAAGAGTTTTCCTGTTATTGATTTTATGAATCTCTCAATAGAGTTCGGGTATTTATAGTATAGAGATTACAAGCATTTAGGGTAACAACAAGTAACAGAATTGACAGTTATGATAACAATACAAGCATTTAGGGTAACAACAAATAATAGAATTGACAGTTATGATAACAACAAGGTCTTTGGAGAACAAAAGGTAAATCAAACATGAATCATTATGGATACTTTCGTATACATCTTTTATTTTTTTGTGGGAACTAATGCTCTATTATTGTTCTTCTTCCATGTATATATGTTAAAATTAAAATGTCTTTCTTTTGACTGTGGAATATGCCTTTCTTGGAGCATATGTTATTTCACTTTTTTCTTGGAGCATATGCCTTTATTCATGTTTTTAGTCTAAAATAAATATCATTAATTGTTGTTGCAGGGACAAAAGACATAGGAGAAAACAAGGTATTATTGGTCAAAGTGATACTTGAGGAACAAGTTTGGAAACTCTCTTTAATCTTTCTATAGCAAAAAATATGTGGAAGATTCCCTAGTTTGTTATCGAAAATTGCATGTGTTTTTATAGTTTTGTAACTTTTGCAGCTGAAGAAAGTAGATTTAGGTATCAGTGCTCTATAGAACCGAAAATTCCAGTTAGAGGTTAGTTTTATCTCTTATAGTTGCATATGATGTCTTGATATTGAAATGTTGTTTCATATGATGTCATGGGAATACTGATGAAGTCAACCTTCCAGTTAGATTCCCTAAATTTAATTTGAAAAAAATGTATAAATTCTTATTTTTGAAGGTCTACCTTGATGAGAGTATTCAAGAACTGGATAGCCTTAATTCTATAATTCAGGAGCTTGAAGCTCAATTATACGAAGAGGATGAGGAGTGCAAAAGGTACTGGAATGTTTCAAGATCCATATGTTGATAGTTTTTGTTAACTGTCACACCTCTCCGTTAATTTGGCATTTATTGATAACATGATGTTGCCTTTCCTGACATTTCTCTATTCTCTCTGAAACCTTAGAATTACTTCAATAATAAGGAAATTTGTTAGAGTTCACAATATGTCAGAGTTACAAGATGAGCTAAAGAGGCAAATTTCTTTTTTACAATTTACTTTGCTTTGTAGACTTCTAGTACACATCAATGTCTTTTAATGTTTCATTTTCTTTGTGTCTTTCTCTAGCAGCATACAATTTTATTCATGTTTGTTTCACCATTTTATTCATAGATCTCAAGTCCAAAAGTACCTCTTATAAGCTTTTGAAAAGGGAAAAAAGCAAGCGTACTCAACACCTTATTTACAATAATAAGTATGTAATTTTTATTAATAAAATTCTATTTATATAAATGTTATTTAACACTATTATTATAACTTGACTCAAACTATTCATTGTGTAGATATTTGATGACACGTCTCTAATGGAATAACATGTTATAAAGGATGTTCGGGAGGAGTGGGCTGCATTTCTTTTAACCGTTTGTAAATTATTAGATGTTTCAATATTACATTTTGAGTTGAGGAACTATTTTATGTGTAATTATGTTAAGTAACTATGTTAGGTAAATATATTTATGAACTTTGTTGAGTAAATATTACATTTTGATGTGTTAATAGAAACAATATTTATTATTTTGCTTATTATTGATTATTTAGACTTTATTATGTATGGGATTGAATTTTATGCAAGTTTGGATATAGATAGTAGCACATACAAATCCAATACTCTAAAACAAACATCACTTTGTACACCGTTTATAAGATGACTAGGTATAAAAGTGAGACTCTTTTATACCTGTTCTAGCACTAGCAAGTATAAAACTGATATTTTTGCCAATGACGAGGAATATTATACCTGCTTTCGGAATATCAGGTATAAAAACAAACTTTTATACCTGGTGTAGATAGAACCAGTGTAAAAGTTAAACTTTTTAATAACAGTTCTAAGTCCGGTATAAAAATTTGAAAACTTTCTATACTCCCTACTTTTATACTGCAAAAAAATCGATATAAAAAATCTTTTTTAACAGGTATAAAAAACCTTTCTTGCACTAATGTGAATTCCAATACAAAACTTTTATTCAAAAGTCTATGTCAGAATTAGATAAACGTTAAGAGATAATATACTCTAGGAATATTTCTTTCATACCTTTTGTTTGTCTCTTCTGTACATGCAACACTGACCTCTAACTAAAAGGCTAGATTCCTCCAAGAAAGTGAAAGCTCTTTCGAAGAAGTTTATATAAATTATATTGCATGGAGAGAAGACAATAACAAGAATTATATTGCTTACACTCACGATGTTGTTTTCTCTTTAAAGCTCACGTCGTTTAAGACTCTTTGAAAAATAAAAGTTTTCTTTACAAGTTTTTAGAACTTTATTGTATTGATTTC